CCACGGAGTGCCAACGCTGGAGCAGAGCGGCTGTCCATCGTTGCCCTCGTAAAAGACAGCAGTGCACGCGCCCACAGGTGTGCGTAGACAATTGGCCCAACTTGCATTGTTGTGCATCCGTCGGCTGTTGTTTGCGCCTGAGGAGCCACATCGACTTCGGGATACCAGCCCAAAGTCGCATTTGCCTTCGCGACCTCGACGAAGTTCGCGTGCCTCTGCAGAATTCGTCGAGCAGGTTACCCGGTCGACCTGGCCGACCACCAAGTGCTTTGGTCGACCCCCAGGTGCCTCCGGTCGACCACTGGGTCCCTCTGGTCAACCACCAGGTGCCTCTGGTTGACCACAACTCCCGTCAAGCTACCCCCTGGTCGACGGACCCCTTCTGTCGACCAGAACCGTCAGCGGTTGTCGCCGAGCTCCCCTTGTTGACCGCTGCTCACTTTTCAGGTCGACGGCTGCTTTGTTGACCTCCCGGTCGAACTGCAGGTTGACATATTGCTCCGTCGACCTCCTGGTCAAACTGCAGGTTGACGGACTACTCCGTCGACCTCCCGGTCAAACTGCAGGTCAACGGACTTCTCCTCCTGGTTGACGGCCCACCCGTCGCCCAGACCAGTCAGTTGTAGCTGTCGAGCTCATTGGTCGACCGCAACACTACAACGGTCCCTTGCAGCTTGACGAAGCCTATCGAGCGGCTCTCCCACTGTGAACGGTTGGCTGCTACTCTCGTACATCCGACCAAGTCGTCGGCGTTGCCCAAGCAAGGGAGGGGCCAACATTCCACTCCCGTTCATAGCCTTTACTACGTTGCGAGTCTTATTTTTGACTCTGGCTGTCCTCCGTCCGTCGGGGGTGAGCTTGCCCTTGGATGTGACGTCCTTCAGGATAGACAATTTGAGCTGGAGTGCCTCAGGGATACTATACCTCATCTTGTTGTCATGCTGGTTGCCCCTGAGGGAGACTCGGATGCACTGGACATCCCGACCCTACGTTCTTTTGCAGAGGTGACCACAAGTCGTTGCTCCTCTCAGTGGCAGATAGCTATGGACTTAGAGATGGTATCCTCGGAGTCCACAGGCACCTATGTCGATAGAGTTCCCCCTCCAAGGGAGAACATAGCCAATGGCATGTGGATTTTCATGGTGGAACGGCCGCCGGGTTCCCCGTCTGTCTTCAAGGCGCGTTGTGTTGCACGAGGCTTTAGTAATCGTCAGGGGGTTGAATTTCTCCAGCTCTCCCCTAAACTGAATATGACCATCCTTCGGGTGCTACTGCACGTTGCAGCACAGGGTGACTACGATTTGCACTCACTGGACATCCCCACAACTTTCTTGCAGGGCAACCTCCTCGAGGAGTTCTGGTTGCGCCGCTCACCTGGCTTCACTCAGTCATTTCCTGAGGGTGCACAGTGGAGCCTCTGGCTGCCAGTCTACGGTCTCCTTCAGGGGCCCTGCAAGTGGCATGGCACACTGAGGACGACACTTGCGGCCCTTGGCATCGCTCCTTCGGTTGCTGGCCTGTCCTTGTTTCTGCGCACTGACTATACTTTGCCGCTATTCTACATCCTTGTCTTAGAATGTGAATGACAGGGTTGAGGGATGACTAGTGAGAGAGAGTACAAGTACAAACCTAAAAGGGTTGTACCCACTATAGCTAACATCACTACAGCGTATCAGATGAACATACAAGTATGTTTGACACATCCCCATCGGCGAAGTGGGGAATAGCAAGCAGAACAAGCGGTCACAAGACCAGTCAAGAGAAGAAACAAACAACAAAGCTCAGGGTGGATCTCAAGGACACCACACACTCCGAGCACAACCAAGCGGCCACAAGGCCAGTTAATATGCAGTTTGATAATAACACAAGCAGTACAATCATCGAGACCTAGCAACCAGAAACATGCAGGTTAATATATCAAAGTATAAAGCAAGATCAAGAGACAAGCACGTGAGGCAGAGTGGGCAAAAACCCAAGAACAGTGCAGAAATGCTGATGATCACTAGACCCAAGGGCCTTGGTGAAGACATTAACAGAGTTGGCCTGTGTGGCCATGTAAGCAAGACAAAGCTGACCACGCTGCTGCAGCTCTCACGTGAGGAAGTAACGGAGAGCAATGTGCTTCATTCTGTGCTCCAGTCTCTGGTCCTGACACAAGGCAATCATGGCCTTGTTGTCGATGTACAAAATTGGAGGAGAACAAGGCCGCTCACCCAAGTCGGTCAGCAGATAGGTCAACCAGCAGAGGTCCTGTGCAGCCATAGCCCCAGCGTAAATCTCGGCCACATAGCTGGAACTAAGTACAGAAGACGAGCCGGTGGACCTCCACGAGACAGAACCAGCGCCGAGGCTGAAGATGTACCCCTGTGTAGACTGGTGAGTCGGTCTGGTCGTCAGCTCAAGAAGCGTCTGAGTGACCCGTGAGTACGACTGGACCCTGTCCTCCAAGCATAAGCCCCATGCGCGATGTATTGCACAAGTAACGTAGTAGTATCTTCGCAGCTTCCTAGTGCACCTTTCGGTGCCTACCTCGAGCCACGTAGCGAGCCAGGAGGCTGAGAGGGTACGCGAGGTCAGGTCGTGTGGACGTCATCAGGTACATGAGGCAACCCATAAGCTCTGGGTACTGACCACTCCGCTCTACGGACTCGTCTGAAGGTGGAGCTGAGAGTGAGTGGCCTTTAAACAGAGGAGTGGACTATGGCGAGAAGAACTGGAAGCCGAAGCGCTGAAAGACCTACTACACCATGTGCGACCGAGTCAAGGTGATGGTGCACCGTGCTCAGTCCCGGGTAATTTGCAAGCCAAGATAGCTTCGCAGCTCACCTAGGTCAGTGCAAGTGTGTCTCTCTTGGAGCTCTGCCTTCACTAGGGCCAGTGCCTCGGTGTCAGCAGTAGCAAAAACCAAGTCGTCGACGTACACAAGAATGTAGAACGGCGGCAGAGAAGTGTCTGTATGTAGAAACAGTGAAGGGTCAGCAGTCGAGGGAGCAAAACCAAAAGTTGCAAGTGTAGTCCTCAGTGTATCGTGCCACTCATGGGGCACCTGACGTAGACCGTAGACCGGCCGCTGGAGACTCCACTCAGTACCCTCAGGAAACGACCTAGTAAAGCCACGAGGCCGGCGCAACCAGATGGCGTCGTGAAGGCTGCCCTGCAAGAAAGCTGTCAAGAAGTCGAGTGTGATGATCTAGGATCGAGCTCAGAAAAGAGAGTTTGAATTGAATGATTCACCTGGGTACAGCACGAGGCTATATATAGTCTCGACACAAGGCCAGTTACCCAGGTGTTACGCGAATATTCTGAGGGTCGCGAAGCGTCCCAAACAGAACCTTCCCGAACTCAGTAGAAATCAATTCGGTGGAAACCGAATAGGCTTGAGTTCGGTACACGTAACCTGGTTCGGTGCTATAACTAGAATAAAATATAGGAATGCACCTAACCTAGGAAATCAAACATATCCATGCATGATAAATAAAACCCAAGCTAGATATAGCATAATAAAGTCTAGGCAAGCTAGCAAAGCCAACATAAGCCGTCGTACTCTCACACGTCCCCCCCTCAAAGCTGGGTGGCGTAACAAACACCCATGCTTGACAAGATAGTCCTTGAGAGCACTGCGTGCGTTGCCCATATCAGCTTCTACAACCCAACTGTCTTCAGTGGGGTCGTATCCCTTCCAACGTATCAGGAGCTCGAGGGTCTTGTCGCCGCGGCGCCGATGAGTGAGAACGCGCTCCACTTCGTACTCTGGGTCATCCTGGATGAGAACAGGTGGTGGTGGCAGTAGCTGCCGTCCCTGGAACCGTTGGTTGGGGTCCTTGTAGGGCTTCAGTAGGTGAACATGGAAAGCGTTGTGAAGCTTCCACGCAGTAGGTAAGCGCAAGCGGAATGTTACTGGTGTCACCTGTGCCTCATCGAGAAAAGGACCACAGAAGCGAGGCCGGAGCTTGGATAGTAGGCGAGACAGGTTCAAGTTGCGCGTGTCAAGAAGCACCTGATCTCCGACTGCTACTGAGTGATCTTGTTGCTGGCGATCGGCATACCGCTTCTGGGAGTTCTGCATTGTGGTGAGACGTCGCTGAGTCTTCTCCCATAGCTGCTGCATGGTGGTGAAGAAGTCGTGTGTGGCTTGGACGTGTGCCAGTGTGGTTGGCTGCTGTGGTGTAAGTGGTTCCTGTCCGTAACACAAGAAGAAAGGAGTTTTCCCTGTGGCCGCATGTGACGCATTGTTGTAAGCGAAATCTAGGGTCGGTAACTGTGTGTCACAGTGGCTGGCATCGTCCTTGCAAGCTGTGTGCAGTAACTGTTCAACCACCTGATAAAGTCGCTCTTGTCAGAATGTATTTGCTGTCTAGCCTGCAGTGGGGTACTCTGTAATGAGTACAACCCAATTTAGAGTGTTGTACTTGTATCCCAACTCTTGCTAGTGAATCACTTTTTTCTCCTTCTCAACTTTCTCGACATTCACCTTACACCCTAAACCTAAGCTACTAAGACACTCACTAGCAATGGCTCCTAAGCTTAAGTCACGCTAGTATTTTCATATGGTATCAGAGCAGGTACCTTCCTGCTGCCTTCTTGCTTCCGCTGCCTATCGTCTTGCCGCGCGCCTCGGGTGCGCGGCGTATTTTGGCGCACGGCGATTTTCTGCCCGCCGTGTGCTCGGGGTGCACGGCGGTTTTCTGCTCGCCGTGCGCCCCGAGGCGCGCGGCGGGTTCCTACCTCGTCGTGGCGTCTTGGGGGCCCGCGCACTAGCCCCGACCGTCGCCTCGTCGCGGCGTTTTGGGGGCCCGCACGCAGGTCCCTCCCGTCGCCGTGTCGCGGCACTTTCGGGGCCCGCAAGTCGGCCCCTCCCGTTGCCTCGTCGCGGCACCTTAGGGGCCTGCGCGCGGTCCCCTCTCGTCGCCCGTCGAGGCACTTTCGGGGACCTGCGCGGCTCCCTAGCACGCCGCCCTTCAGGGCACCATGGGGGCCGCGCCCTTCCCCTCCCCTCCCTCCTACTTTCCGCTGCAGCAGCCGCCCCTGGAGCAGCCGCCACTGCAGCAGCAGCCCCTAGAGCAGCCACCCCAACAGCAGCCAGCCCCTGGAGCAGCCGCCCCAGCAGAAGCAACCCCTGGAGCCGCCGCTACTGCAGCAGCCGCCCCAACAGCAGCAGCCCCTGGAGCAGCCGCCCCAGTAGCAGCAGCCCCTGGAGCAGCCGCCTCAGCAGCAGCAGCCCCGGGAGCAGCCGCCCCAGCAGCAGCCTCTAGAGCAGCAGCCCCAGCAGCAACAGCCACTGGAGCAGCCGCCCCAGCAGCAGCAGCCCCGGGAGCAGCCGCCCCACCAGCAGCCCCTGGAGCAGCAGCCCCAGCAGCAGCAGCCACTAGAGCAGCCGCCCCAGCAGCAACAGCCCCTGGAGCCGCCGCTACTGCAGCAGCCGCCCCAGCAGCAGCAGCCCCTGGAGCAACCGCCCCAGCAGCAGCACCAGCAGCAACCCCTGGAGCAGCCGCCCCAGCAGCAGCAGCAGCCCCTGGAGCCGGCGCTACTGCAGCAGCCGCCCTAGCAGCAGCAGCCGCTGGAGCAACCGCCCCAGCAGCAGCACCAGCAGCAACCCCTGGAGCAGCCGCCCCAGCAGCAGCAGCCTCTGGAGCAGCCGCCCCAGCAGCAGCAGCCCCGGTAGCAGCCACCCCAGCAGCAGCAACCCCGGGAGCAGCCGCCCCAGCAGCAGCAGCCCCTGGAGCAGCCGCCCCAGCAGCAGCAGCCCCGGGAGCAGCCGCCCCAGCAGCACCCCCTGGAGCAGCAGCAGCCACTAGAGCAGCCGCCCTAGCAGCAGCAGCCCCTGGAGCAACCGCCGCTGCAGCAGCCGCCCCTGGCCCCTGCAGCAGCCGCTCCTAGACCCGGTGCAGCCGTGGGGGGGTGGGTGTGGGGGTGATGGTTGTGGGGGTGCCGGTTGTGCGTGCCGTCCCCTCCTCCTCCTCCTCCTCCTTCGTCTCCCACTGTTGCAGCTCTCGCTGAGGGGGGTGGATGTGTGGGAGTCTGGGGTTTAGGGTTTAAGGGGGTGCTGTGGGTGTAGGGCTAGGGTTTGAGCAGGGGGTGTGTGAGAGGGGCGTTGGGCAGCTGGTTGAGGTTGAGTGGAGGCAGCAGCCTTGTTGTCAGCAGCAGCAGCAGTCCGGAGGCTACAATCTCCGGTAGTCGCCAGTCGCCCGTGGGTCCGTTGCTCGTCTGCCGCTACTTTTAGCCGCGGGGCCAGTTACTCCAGTAGTCCGGAGCGCTGTTCCGATAGCCACTGAGCCAGCAGCTTGTCCGTGTGTCTGCAGCGTCATCAGTCGCCTCCCATCTTCTCTCCTCCATAGTCTCTCCTCCTCCTCACTTGCCCTCTGTGATTAGCTCTAGCCTTACTTACCTATTGTGAACTCTTGCTCTATGCTTGCTCATTGTGCTGATTACACCCCACTTTGGCTATGGGGGTGTGTCAGAATGTATTTGCTGTCTAACCTGCAGTGGGGTACTCTGTAATGAGTACAACCCAATTTAGAGTGTTGTACTTGTATCCCAACTCTTGCTAGTGAATCAATTTTTTCTCCTTCTCAACTTTCTCGACATTCACCTTACACCCTAAACCTAGGCTACTAAGACACTCACTAGCAATGGCTCCTAAGCTTAAGTCACGCTAGTATTTTCACAGCTCTGTCTGTCCGTCAGTCTGGGGGTGGTATGCTGAAGACATTGCAAGCTTTGTCCCCAACATTCCCATGAGCTCCTTCCAGAACTTACTAGTGAATTTGGGGTCTCTTTTTGAGATGAGTGTAGCAGAAATGCCGTGGATGGTGATGATGCGGTCAAAGAAGAGGCGAGCAGTTGCTTCAGCTGTAGCTATGGCGTTGGTCGGTATGAAGTGACCCATTTTGGAGAACTTATCGATCACTACAAGGATGGAATCGTGCCCCCGTGAGGTCCAAGGAAGTCCTGTGATGAAGTCGAGACTAACGACCTGCCATGGCTGCTCCGGTACGGGTAGAGGCTGAAGTAACCCTGCTTTTTCCTGCTTGCTGCTCTTCATCCTAGCACGTGTCGCAAGAGGTGACGAACTGCTGCACGTCTGCTGCCATCCCAGGCCAGTAGTAATACTTTGCTATCCGTGCTAACGTCTTGTTGCTCCCGAGCGTATGGTACATCATGAAACTCCTCCAATAGGATCTCTCGTAGTGGGGCGTAATTCGGTACCCAAATCTTTCCTGAACCCTTCCTTACAGCTAAGTCTTTCTCCCACTGTAACAGCTTCTTGGTCTGTGCTGTAGCGATCTCTGCGTCCACGGAGTACTCATGTTGGAATAGACCCTTGAGCAGAGGTTTCATCCCGTCGAGCTGGATGCCTGCTACATGTCCGGGGCGGCTCAACGCGTCTGCCTTGTTGTGTAGCCCGGGCTTGTAGACGATGTCGTAGTGGAAGTGAGTTTCCAAGAAGTCCATCCACCGCACCTATCGTCGTGAGAGCGTCGGCTGCGACTTCAGGTATTTGAGACTGCAGTGGTCAGTATAGACTGTGGTCTTGGCTCCCTCTAGGTAACACCTCCACGCCTTGAAGGCTACGACTATTGGTAAGGCTTCCTTGTCGTGTATGGGGTAGTTCAGTTGTGCTCCGTGTAGCTTCTTACTGAGGTAGGCGATAGGCTGTAAACCGTTCCCGTGATCTTGCATCACTACTGCTCCGACTGCTTGGTCACTAGCGTCTGCCTCAACTATGTAGTCCTTGTCTGGGTCCGGTAGGTTGAGTACTGGCGCTGTAGTTAGTGCTGTCTGTAGCTGCTCCATGGCTTGCTGATGAGGAGTATCCCATTTAAAGGGTGTATCCTTTTTCAGTAGGTCGGTCAGTGGCGCTGCTATCTTAGCGTACTGTGGCACGAACCTGTTGTAGTAGTTGGCGAAGCCTAGGAACTGCTGCAACTCCACGTTCTCCGGAACTTTCCACTTCTTGACAGCTTTGATCTTCTGCGGGTCCACGTGTACGCCCTCGGCACTTACCATGTGCCCGAGAAACTGCACCTTCTTCAGGGCGAAGTCGCTCTTCGATAGCTTCACGCAGAACTTGTTTTTCCGCAGGATCTCGAACACCTTCCGCAGATGCTCCACATGCTCCTTCATCTTCTTCGAGTAGATGAGGATATCGTCCAGGTACACTACTACGCACTCGTCTAGCAGGGGCCGAAGGATGTGGTTCATCTGTGCTTGAAACGTTACTGGTGCGTTGCAAAGTCCGAACGGCATCACTAAGTATTCGTAGGAGTCGTATCTGGTACGGAATGCCGTCTTGTGGACCAAGTTGTCTGCCATCTTGATCTGCCAGTAACCCAACCGTAGGTCCAGCTTCGAAAAGACTGTTGCACCACGCAGTTGGTCCAGTAGGTCGTCTATGCGCGGCATTGGATATTTGTTTTTGACTGTCTGTTTGTTCAGTGCGCGGTAGTCGATGCACATCCGTAAACTGCCGTCTGGTTTTTGAGTGAAGAGAACTGGTGCACCGTAGGGAGAGGTGGATGGGAGGATCATTTGTCTGTCCAGTAGATACTCTATCTGTTTTTTCATGTTTGTCAGTTCGGTCGGACTCAGTCGGTATGGTGCACATGAGACGGGTTTCGCACCTGGTTCCTCCACGATCTCGTGCTCGTGGGTGTGTGCTGGAGGTACGCCTGCGAGTAGGTCGTCGGGCATTGTATCTTTGTACTGCTCCAAGACCTCCTTCACTGCTGGAGGTAGCTCTGTGTTCGGCTTCTCTCCCTCTGCTGCTAACATGACCAGTGCTAAGTAACCCGTGTTACTCTCATTCACCGTCCGTTAAAACTGTGCCAGTGTCGTTTCATGAACGCTCCCTTTATCCGTCCAGCTTCGCAGCTCCACTCGTTTCCCGTTGTTGTAGATGCACACCTTCCTGTTGACCCAGTCGATCTCGGGGTTGAACTGCTTCAGGAAATCTTGCCCCAAGATAAAATATGATCCCTTGATGTTGGTGATCGGCAACGCCGGCTTCCACCTCAGCGCCCCCATGTGCAGCTGCAGTGATGCTTCGCCGTGGATGGGAAGTTTCGTATCGTCCACCATCGTTCCCGTGAACTTGGTCTCCTCCGAAGGTTCTCCAATTTTCTCCAACGTCCCGCGGTCGCACACCAAGTGGGACACACCACTGTCCACCAGTTCCTGGAGGTGTCGCCTGTGGCAGATCACCTCGAGTAGTAGTGGTTGTTGCTGCTCCGAGTAACCGTAGATGATCTCGCTTATAGGATCGTAGGGTACGTCGAATAGATCATCCCTCGGTCCTGCGCTCGAAGCTGCTGACTCCATATCAATTTTCAACTGAGTTGGGCTAGAAGGATATATTCGAGGCCGTTTCAGCTTCGTCTTGGCCTGGAACCTTATCTTAAGCCTTTGCAGCTGTGTAGGCTTCACATGTGGGCAATTGGGAGCCTTAACACCGTGCTGCGGGGAGATAATATTGACTCCTTGGAACGCACGACCCTTTTCAATGCTCCAGAGTGATTTGCCCAACTTCTCATATACCTGAATAATGTCGAAAGGCTTTTTCTTGGCCTTGAAATCTCCCCTGAATTTTTTAAAGGCTTGAATACCTCGAGAGGGAATATTCTTACTCTTGGGGGTGTTCGGCTGGAGTTTCCCGGTCGGTGCAGAGTCTGGTTTCGCGGAGCCTCCTTTTGTCTCGGCGATTTACCCTGTTGCCAGCCGGTCGTGGCGTTTCAAATTCGCGCCATCGTGTCCTCCTTTTTTTGCCCGCTCCGAAATCGCCATGTCTTTTGACATCGGGGGTGCTGCACTGTTGTTGCCCTACAGCTTTGCTCGTACATTCTTCATTTTCCAACACGCCAAGAAACGAGATCCTGCTGCATCGCAAAATTCTTGAGAAGAAACGAGAATGAATGAACTATGAATGAACTGAGTACAAGTACTAACCCTAATTGGGTTGTACCCCTTATGGGCTACCCCACTATAGCCTACACAATAAGCACAAGCTATATGTTCTGACACACCCCCATAGGCACATTGGGGAGAACAAGGGGTCACAAGACCAGTCAAGCAAAGCAAAGCAAAGCAAGCTCAGGGTGGATCACAAAGTCACCACACATTCTGAGCACAAGCTCAAGGCCACAAGGCCAGTTCACATGCAAGAGTATATATATAAAAAGGACTAGACAAGCAAGAGCAGGTGTATATCTATGCAACAGTACAAGCAAGGTCAAGAGGTGAGCAAGTGAGGCAAGACAGGCACAAGACCCAGCTGCGTGCAGAAGTGCTGATGATCACAAGGGGCAAGTGCCTTGGTGAAAACATCAGCAGTGTTGGCCTCAGAGGCCACGTACGCAAGCCGCAACTGTCCACGCTGCTGTAGCTCACGAGCAAGGAAGTAGCAAAGAGCAATGTGCTTTGTTCTGTGCTCCAGTCTCTGCTCTTGACACAAGGCCAGCATGGCCTTGTTGTCTACGTACAGGACTGGAGGAGAACGAGGCGACTCTCCAAGGTCGATCAGCAGGTAGGTGAGCCAGCGAAGCTCCTGTGCAGCCATGGCCCCGGCGTAGATCTCAGCCTCACAACTGGAGCCGAGAACAGAAGACGAGCGAGTAGCCTGCCACAAAACAGAGCCGGAACCAAGGCTGAAGGTGTAACCCTGTGATGACCGCTGCGTAGCCTGGTCGTCAGCCCAAGAAGCGTCCGCGTGCCCAGTGAGGACCACTGGACTCCGCCCTCCAAGCACTAGCCTCATGCCCGACGTACTGCACAAGCAGCACAACACCCTCTTTGCTGCAGCCATGTGCTCTGGTCGGTGTCTCCAAGGAGCAACATAGCGTGCGAGAATGCTAAGAGGGTATGCAAGGTCAGGTCGTGTGCAGGTCATCAGGTACATGAGGCAGCCAACAAGCTCTGGATACGGGCCACTCGACTCTACGGACTCATCCGAAGGCAGAGCTGAGAGCGAGTGGCGAGTAGGCAGAGGAGTGGCCTGAGGCGAGGAGTACGTGAAGCCGAAGCGCTGAAGGACCTGCTGCACCATGTGTGACTGAGTCAAGGTAATGGTGCGGCGTGCTCTGTCCCGGGTGATCTGCAAGCCAAGGTAGCTGCGCAGTTCACCCAGGTCTGTGCACGTTGGTCTCTTCTGCAGCTCGGACTTCACGTAGGCGAGTCCAGCACTGTCAGCTGTGGCAAAGACCAAGCCGTCGACGTACAAGAGGATGTAGAACGGCAGCAGAGAAGTGTTGGTGCGCACAAACAGCGACGGGTCGGCAGTAGAAGGAGCAAACCCAAGAGCCGCAAGCGTAGT